GAGGGTGGTCTCACTCCGAGTTCTCTTGTTACTGCTGCTGCCGCCGCTGCTGCTGACACTCCCTGTCTTCAGCACAGTCACTCTGCCTGCTTCACTGGCCTTGCCGCACAGCCACACTGAACAATCATCCAGCGAGAGCTTCTCCGGATCGAAATTGGCGATCATCTCGCCCCAGTTCAGGCGCATGCCAGCCGGCAGTTTGGCAACAAGTTCCTGTCGCAGCTGAGGGTTGCGCAGGTGCCCGGTACTATTCATTAGCTTCATGGTCTGCACCAGCCCACGCACAGCAGTTGAGAACTCTACGAGCTGCTCAAAGTCGTCGGCTCGCAGAGTACGGAAACTCTGAGCACGGGTGATGAGGTGGTGCACCACGTGCTCGGGACGGCCAAAACGCTCTTGCAGAGTGGCAAGAATCTCCGGAACATTGTCTGGGACAGCCAACATAAACTGGACTGCATCTCTGGCCTTGCCCTTCAGCGCACGGTGCAGTCGGCTGAGGTTCTCTGCATGTGAAAACCCACAGTCCCGAGTTGTGGTGTCGAACATCTTCTTGAAGATGGGCCACTCTTCAGGCTGCCCAGCAAACTGTGGCAGATCCTTCCCAGCAGCTTGCCTGGCCATATAACCCTTCATATGGCGCTGTGCTGGGGTGTCTGAGGGCTTCTGCGTGCCTACCGCTGCCATGATAGCTCCAGCGAGCTACGCGATGTCAGACTGCGGCTGCTGCGTAGCATCTGACTGCGGCGCCTGCTGATGACATACTGCCGGACTGCGTGCTGTGGCTGTTGACGTTGCTGGTTGCTGCGTAACATCTGGCTGCGGCGCAACACCAGGCTGCGGCACAACACCAGACTGCGGCGTAACATCAGACTGCGGCGACTGCTGATGACATACTGCCGGACTGCGTACTGTGGCTATTGACGTTGCTGGTGGCTGGTTAGCTGTAGCTGCGTGGCCACCGCCAGCAGACACTGCCACAGCTGCCTGGGGAGTTCCACCACGTGCAGACTATTGGGCTGGCTGGCCCCTTACACTGCTGCTACTACTACTACTACTACACGCGTTGAGCGCGTTGACTCCGAGTATGCACTACTACTAGTACTGGAACTGTCATGCTGGCTGTCGATGGCTTCATGCTGCATCGCCAGCTCCATTTGCAGCAGTCTCCTCTGGGACCCTATCTGTTGCTGCTCCAATAGACCCTTTGCACAATAAGCGAGAGGGGTCGAGACGGGGCATGCTGTGCACGCGCTGCACACTTGGCATGCAACCAGCATGCGTGGTTTGCTGCAGGACGTGATCAAGTTTCCTGTGACAGGCTGTGTTTTCACGGTCCCGACGCGATAATCATGTATGTACTCCGCAGCCTTTTTTCATTTGAAGTTTTTTTAGTTCTGAAGGAAGAAGTTCCGAAACGCTTTCCAAGTACCACTGTTGGGTTCTTGTTTGCAGCAACCGTCATCCCTAACGTTAGTGTAAGGAACCCACTTGTCTTTCCATGCGTTCCCTGGTGATGCTGGCATTCCACACTCTGGAATCCTGGCTATCTGGCGAGAAGAGGGCCGCAGTGCTGCGATATCGTTCACAGTGTTGTGCTCGGAACACTTTATCCATGACGACTTTTATCCTTGCTGTTGCGAAGATATGGAACGCCCTGCCAAGGGACTCTGGAGCTTGAGAAAAAGGCATGACCCATCCCTGTCTTCGCTATTGGAAGATCGACTGCTTGCTGGCGCTGCTCGAGCTGCTGATGCTGAAGTGGAGAGAGACGCAGCCTCGTCGCTCAGGTGTGCGGAGAAAGTCATCTGAGTTCGAGCTGTGGCTGTGTGCACGATATGACAGACTTTCACATTATGCACATAGCCACCAAAGTAAAACTCATGGACACTATCCACGGGCCTGTTCACTTGTACTACTCCATCAGCTCCCTCTTCACTGTCGTCGGCGACTTGCCCCTGCGTTGGAGACGAGCAAGCATGCTGTGGCACTCACTCTGGGAAACAGAGGTTCATCACTCATCCACTGGGACGCATGAAATGTTGGGCATGATGAAGGTACACTCGAGGAAGTGGTGCCCTTCTTAGTTCTAGGAGCATCAGGGTTCTGCATAGAGAAGAGTTCACTACATCGACAGGGGAGAGAAGGTAGAGAAAAGAAAAAGAAATTTCAATCTTCAGTAATCCGAAATATCCACTGAATGCGGAAAACTTACCTCTCCAACAACTCCTTCTTTTTCCCGACAGATACGCACCATCATTCAGCAGAAAACTGTTCAGTTCCTTCACAGACCATTCTTCATTTGACAGTTCGTCCACGGGTTCCACAGCCATCGATGGCAAACCACTCGACACTCTCTCCTCCATCTCCAAAATGGAAAAATACAGTGTTCCACCATGCTCAACAACTGATACTCTGCACAAAATCGAAGAGGGTGCCCCGTCTCGGATCACGTGACCGTTATTGTGCAAAGGGTCTATTCAGCCAGCCTCTTTGCAGCCTCGTACTCAGCTCGTAGGTGCGCACTCCGCGCACCGCGACTACGCGCACTGCGACTACTACTAACGCTAATACTGTCCACACCAATGGACTTCAGACTGAGCACATCATATACACTGGCACTGGGTGATGGTGGCAACGACAAATTCACCGCAGCGTCAAAGGCAAGCTGAGGGTCAGTCTGTGTCGACGCCAGCCACTCACCGAGCTGGTCTGGAGCTCTCCCTCTGGTGGTTCTGGTGCTCTTGCGCGACATCTCAACGGCAACGATCCGAAATGCACACTCAAATTTCAAAAAATATACACTATACGATCATAACACAACGAGCTTCGGAATACAGAAGGCTTTACTTCAGGGCTGTTCGATTGGCTCCGGATGCGCTCCGCACATCCGGCTGGAAGGACCAAATGTTCAGGGCAGTACAGACAACACAAGTCACCACCGCACATCGAAGACTACTGCTCGCTTGAAGACTGTATAAAGGTGTATTCACAAACAACCACAAATCTGAAAACTGAAAAACTCTGAAAAAGAAACTAAACAAAAAAAGCCACAAGGTCCGCTCGGCTCCTCGCGCACCAAAACTATCTACGAAAATGGAGGCATCGCAGTTCGCCTTCAAGGAAACAGCAACTATTGCAGGGAAGCGGTGAAAACTGCAAGAAAGCGAAAGCCATAGATCACGGACACAACAGAAAAAGTCTGTACCAAAGAATGCGCATCGCTAGCCGCGCAGCATTGTACACACACACAGCGCACAGTGCACTGTACATTTGGCAAAAAAAACATAAAAGAAAATCAAGACAGTTCAAAGCGCAAAAAAACACATGTTCACGTCATGTTCAAGGAAATTCAAACGAAGAGAAAAAGAGAGTAGAGAAGTTTAGAGAAGTACAAGAACGAAGAAATGGAGAAGAGAAACGTTCTTGAGATGAAGAGTAGAGAAAAGAGCAGAGAGAACAGGGAGAGAGACTGGAAAGAAGTTCTAAAGAAGACGTGAGAGAGAAGAAAGGTGAGAGAATAGACAGAACGAAAATAGCAAAGACAAAGTCCACAACAAATTCAAACAATGTCGATCTTGTTCACAAGTTCAACCATCAGGCAGGAACAGATATCGTGTTATGAATTTGGGTCTGCC